ATACTGGTTTATAATTGGGCAAGAATTGGCAGGATTACAAGTGTTGACTAAAGAAAAATTTCCAAAGTTAGGTGAATGGATGGATGAGTACCTAAACTCTGACATTATAAAGGAAAATCTGCCTCCCAAAGATAAGTTGACTGAATATTTCCAACCAAGTTTTGAAGCTGCTGCAGCTGCTGCTAATGCCGCCGCTGCCGGTGGTGGTGGTTCACCCAAATGAAATCTAAGTAGCTAATTACTTCATGTTTTGTTGTTGAACTCGAAATTACGAAATGAAGGGAATTATGACTACCCTTTTATCGAAGAAACCATGCAATGCATAATTTGGGTTCTTGTCTGTTATTTTTAGTACCTTTCTATCAATGTTTAGCCTTTATATTTATCTGGAAAGTTCATATATACGATTCATGTCACTGATATCTACTTTGTATATATACTTTGCAAGAATAATAATCATTTGTGGAAAATACAAGTAATAACTAGTTATATTTCATGATTGTGTAGTGACTTTAGCATAATCATTGTACGGATAGTTGACTACGTTACCGTAGTTATCGGAGGTAGAGACTAATTAGACGAGAAATTTTAGAAAATCGATTAATTTGCTTTTGTATATAGGATTTGTTGCCTTGTCGCTATAAAATTTATCGATGAAATATATTAACTTTCACAAATTCATTGTATATAGAACACAAAAGTTACCTCCAATCTGTTGACATTGCCCCTTCGTATTGAAATGCTAAGCAACAATAATTATTATAATTCCAACCTAGACTTTATAGTTATTTCCTTATTTATCACATGACTTTTAGCCTGGTGTACTTGTTGATGATTGATGAAAGATAGATGAAAATTTTTTGTTGATTTTGATAAAGATTGATAAAATATATAGTTGAAAAATTAATAAAAATTGTGGATCTCATCAAATCTATGATTGCAAATGAATTTGAGGAAAAATTAGTTTTAGAAAATGGGTGTAACAATAGTTTATTTGGTTAACTTCTATAATAATAACATTTAACATATGTTTGACACTTATTTTTTAGAATTTATTTTTCATCAAACTCATATCAATCATACATTTTCATAATAAATAATTATGCATGTGAACCCATAACTTTTACCCCTTTTTAACCCAACGTTATCCAAAAAAATCATTTTCATAAAATTTATTCTCGAAAAATCCATAACAAATCACCTTTAGTTTCATCAAGACTAATCTCTGCCCATAGTGAACAGGGAATATCATACCCATCGGTGAGGTGGCAAGATGTGGTCTTACCATCTCACCGGTATTTTAGACCCCACCGATGAAATGGCAAGACCATATCTTGCCACCTCATGAGTGGATAAGATCACTTCAACCCACCATGAG